ATACAATAAGAATATATATTTTTCTACACTTGTTTAGTTTGATACAAATTTTTAACTTCCAAGCGCCGTGATATTCACGGGCATTATTATCTGTTGAATAAATTAATTAATCTATTTAATTTTGATAAAAATAAATATATATTAAATAAAATAAAGAATTCTTCCTAAAAATATTATAGAATTTAATTAATTATTTATAGTTTTCTAATTTTTTTTTTCAAAACGACAGATAATATTATAAATAAAAAAGCACAGATGTGTGAATATACAGTAGCCAACGGTTGAATACACAACAGCCAACAGCTGAAAAAGTGGGAGGACATGTCAGAAGACCGCCTAGAATCCCGACTAGCAACGCTAGAATAAAAAACTCGCAAGTAAACTAAACCAGCAAGTCACACAACTAAAACAACCGAAAAAGACCCCAACAGGATAATACCCGAGTGTCAGATCCCAACGGGATAGTTTTCTAATTCACAATAAGAATTATATTTTTCACTTTTTGTTGGACAATTGATTATTTATTAAACCCCCGTGTAGTACTCGGGCGTTGTACTAGTGCTTAATATATAATTAAAATAATTTTTATAACGCAAATCACCTAATCTGTCATCTTTCAGATTTTGACATCATACTAGGTTTAGGAACTTATATAAATAATTTGTGATGTCAAATAAGTGTAGAAAATTTATGGGACTGGAAAACCAAACACATCAAGTTATATCAAATTATTAGAGCAATATCATATCGTGTGTCCACAAAAATTTTCTAAAATTGAATGTGCTGCAGATCACAGAAACTTTTCTGCACTGCACATACTTACTTGAAAATATCAAACAATTTGCATTTGTAGATTTTTTGCCCCAATATTTTCTTAAGAATACAACACCGATGTGAATATCATATCCAAAATTCGTCATCAAATAACATTCAAATCATCCACAACAATCTTCGAATATTGATATAGTGCACTTAATGGAATTTTTTAACACTGAACACATTAAAGTTAAAAATTCAAAACAAATAACACATGTATCATTTGAACTTCACAATCTTACTAGGTTATCCACACTCCAAGTTGCGTCACATGTCTGAAATTCAGGATGAAATGAGTTATTATCGATTTATAACAAAGTTTCAAAATTAACTTCACAAATACTTGACAGCACAACCACAACAATTAAACTCATACAAAAATCATCAATTCACACTTTTCTAGATATTGGAATATATTTAAAATTGATAACACTAATATATCATAATAAATATTGAATGATATTAAATGTTATCTTGATAGAAAAGACACGATTCTTTTCTAGGGCATATATCAATTTTTATTGTTACCTTGATTGCCCGTTCGTCGGATACATCAATTCTCGATTGTTACCTTGATTGTCCATTCATCTTGATGAAGTCGCCATTCACTTAAGTGGTAGAATACTCATGTTGATAACGTATTATAATATTTATTATCTTATACATAGAGAAAAGAGAGAAGCAAGAAGACATGAGGGAAAGAAAATGAGACCAGGAGAGAGAAACCGTACTTTATTATTTAATTTGTACCTTATATATAGGAAAATACATCGTACATGACTAATAACATAATGGGCTCTTTCCCCATACCTACAAAGCTTATATCTAGGTAATCTCTATAAATAATAATTATTTACAAGAGTCGCGCTCCAGTGAGAATGGTGATCAGCGAAAGAAATAAGAATAAATCTTAGTCATTAGATCGAATGATCTAATGGTTAAAAAAAAGTCAAAATTATACCTTCACTAAGAGTACCTCACATAAAAAGTTGGGCCCCACTACATATTAAGTCACGCTGTGCACTACCAACTACACCAATCAATAAAAGAAATAAAAAAAAAACACATACCCAATCAATCAGTTTCCCCACCCTACCCAACACACTTTCTCTCTCTCTCTCTCGCACCCACACGCACAAAAAATGGACGAACACACACACGCACACAGTCATG